CATCCTTCTGTTTCCTTTTGCTGCTGAAACAGTGGAAGAAATGGTAACCCCAGGGTTATTTCATGGTGTTCCCTTTTTTGGGGCAATCTTTCTTCCCCTTTCTTTTTTCACATTGAGAGGGAAGTAGCAAAAGAAGAATTTGGAAGTGCCTGTGACCTAATGTACTGTGTTACATTGGGTCACGTGGATGGAGAAGGATACAGGGATAGATGGAGAAAAAAGAAATCTCTGCCAGAGGGAAGGAAAATAAAGTCCAAACACAAAGAAAACACCTTGAAATGCCTGCAGCTTTAACTGTGAAGTTAAAAAAAATATTCATAATTTTGTTAATCATCTTTCTGGCCAGCATTAAGAGGCCCTTGACTCCTGCTGGAACTGAAGGATACAATCATCAACAGTGCCTGGTCTGACCTGAGTTTCAGATAATTTTTATTTTGTATGCCTAAGATAGGTCATGAATATAGTGAAATGCCAAACCAAGCATGAGTCAAGCCTAAACAGGCTCTCTACCAACAGAATTTAAAAGTTGGCAGAATATATTCTTTTTAAAAATATCTGTTGCACCGTACACTTGTACTTTTTGCTTCCTTTTTTCTCCCTGTGCAAAAACTAGGCTTTCGGCCTCAGCTACATTCACACAAAGTGTGTTTTAAAGTGGTATACTACTTGACAAGCCAACAGAGAAGATCTATGCAGCCTCTTCTTTCAGTCAGCAGCAAAACCACCCTTTAAAAACTTGTTACAATGTCCACCTACTCAATACACAGTTTTTAACTGGGCTGCAAAGAATCTGAAGTTCACAAGTGATCAGAGCTTAGTATTGACCCTGAAGTTGTCAGTGATAGGCCTTGGATCAGTGTTCAGTTTTTAATCTCTTTTTTAATCTCTTCCATATCTGGAAGAAAGAAAAGGACTGTTTGGGACTTCAAGGCATTTTTAAGGGAAGCAGCTCAAAATGCCACACCACAAAGACTAAGTGTGGTGGAGACTAGCTGGCAATGTGCAGTGGGAGGCTCCCATTTACTCCCAGCCTGCAGAAATAGAGACGCAAACTGATGGAGTCCGTGCTTGTCTTTCCCACCCCCCAATGGGTGAACAGGGGCACCACTTTTTAATATCTTCTGACCAAGAAGGTCTGTTTTCTTCTCCTCGTCCACCGTCCCGCTATGCTGAAAACCAAAGAGCTTGGGTGTTTCTTGTGTAGCCCATTGCACAGTGACTGGTTGATGTTATCATGCGTTTCTATGTAGGTAGTGTACTTTTTATTGCTGGTTTCAAAACTTATCGTTATCTTCTGTTTTTCTGCATTCGTCCAAGTTTGCTGTTCTTAAGCCACGGTATTTGTTACCTGATTCCTTTGGTGTCTAATTTCAAACACAAAATTAGCAGCCCTGATAGAGATGACCATGTACTCGTGCCTGGGAGCATGGTCTTCTCATCAGCTTCCCTTTGGGCTGTTCTCCTTTTCATTTGCATTTTCATTTTTCTCAACAGTGAAAAGTAAAGGAGAGAACTAATCACAATCAAGCATAACCTGTTTTCAGATCAATCCATCCAAGATTTATGGCATTGGGAAACAAATGCCCTGCCAATATTTCTTCTTTTTTATTTACTGTTCCATAACAACCAATTGAAAAGGCAATTAGTGAGCAATCAACAGGATTGTTTTGATAAATGAAGTATAACAAAAAGGTTTTTAAACACCTTATGTGGAAGACCAGGATAAAAGCATCCTGGATGGAACAATTTCAAATAAACTCTCCATCAATTTGTAGTTTCTGAGAGGATATGTTGGCTTCCATTTTAGGCCACCCTGTTCAAGATGAAAAAGATTTATGACCACAAAAAGGAGAGACGGTACAATAGAAGCATATACGTAACTGGGACATGGAGTTGTTCAGAGACAAGAACATACTTCATTTTTAATATCAGCTGTGTTTTCATCAGTATCACATGAGTTTAGCAGCTTGCTTTTCTTGATTTGTTTCAGAGGCTGGACAGACTCTCTGTATCTACGTTTACGCAGGAGAAATCGCTGTAATCACAGAGACTTACAGAACATTTCCCAAAATGGTATGTTAAGTTTTTTCACTTTTTTTTTTTTAACCTTACTAGTCTGATACTTGATGCTGCATTAATGAACATGATGCTGCATTAATGAACATCTTTTAGAATCAAATAGAAACCCCTTCTTAATTACATACATTTCTTATGGAAAAATAGAGAACAGCACTTACTTAACTCAGTGCCTTTTCTTCTGGCTTTGAGTAGGGAGGTGTGTGGCTTGGTCACTTTTCTCCACGCACAGACTAAGAATTTCCACTGGGCTAAAAATGAGTGTACCCCACTGTAACTCTATGGGGGATTTTTTTGGCCAAAAGGGGGGATTTAGAGGGATGTCGCTAGCAGTGATGGGGCTAAAAGGTCTGCCCTCCATCTCCTCTGGAAGCTGTGGCGTGGTCCCTGCTTGTTTGCACCCCCCTGCTCTGCACTGCCGCGGGGGATGCCGGGAGGGCCCTACACTGCACCCCACAGTAGCACAGGGGACTCACAGGGCTGCCACACGGGCAGGCAGAGTGGGCACAAAACAGTCATCAGTCTCATAGCAAGGGTGTCCAGTTCATCTCAGTACGTGATACCCTATTACCTTGTTCTGCTCTCTTTACATTAATGGGGGTTGTACTTTCTGCTCTTCCTTTTCCCTAATTCTCTCATAGACTTTTAAGAAAAAAAACCTCTCACTGTGTGCATCGTTCCTTTTTCTCTACACTTCACATGTCTCCTTTCCACTTACATTACAGACACCTACAGGATACAAAAGGAGGTGAGCCTATGTCAGGGCAAAAGACTCTAAAGAAAATTGTGAAGGGAATTTAAAAAAGAGAAAAATTACAAGTGACAGAAAAATCCCAGGATATCTTCCCTCAGTATCTTCTCTTTATCATCGCACTGACACCACATTGTAGAGGTTTGCTTTTATTGCCTCACTTGGCTTAATAGTTTCCCCGAATGGGAGGAATTAAATGGCCGCTTTCAGTGTCAGTAAAGCAAAAAGCTGGCCACCAATCTGACCTAGCCCCACCTGGGACAACTTAACCTTCCTCTGAAAATGATGCTTCACAGCCCCATATACATGCAATGAGAGGATGAGACACTGGAGATGCGGTTCTGATGGGGGGAGCATGCAGCCAAGAGCTGGAGCCCAGGGATGGCAAGCCAAGCCGGGGGCTGAGAGCAATGCTTGTCTCCAGCCCCCCTACAGAAGCAGTAGCGCTGTGTCAGAGCTCAGCACGGAGGGACTTTTGCCCGTTGCCCTTCTTGGGACGTGCATCTTCACCCTAGAGGAAAGCTTCCCCAGCCTCCATGCTAGCGGGATATCTGCCTTCCCTTTCTTAAAACATCCCATTATCCCCTGGAGATGGTGGACCCTTCCCTCCTGTGCAGCTGGCTGCAGGGTAGGGTGCTCAGCCAGGGCCAGGGAGGGAGCCCCTCAGCTCTCCGTGTATGTTACCCATGTCCCATGAATACATTCACATCAGAATTGCTGACATTCATTTTGGGTGACCAGTTTTGCTCACCAGGCACTCCAGAAGATGCTTGGTATATGAGATATAGGTTAATAATTCGTAACAAATCTGTTCTATGCCACCATTACTGCTTTCAGCTTGCGGTTGCACAACAAGCAGCTCACAGTCCTAATCAATGTTTTCCATTGAAGTGGCTTGCTGAACAGTTTTCTACAGATAATTTTTATGGGTTCATTGTTTTCAGTATGGTTTTGGTGGCTTGCCTTCCAGCAGTTTCACACAGGTTGGTAGGCCATGTGCTATTTCTGTTTTTTTGACTGGGTGAGTGGGATGCTCAGGTGTGAGGGCCGGGCATGAATGGTTAGGTGTGGAGTTAGAAAGTTCTTCTAAATGTTCTCCAGCACTTGTTGAAGATCCCTTGTTTTGATAGAAGCAGCCTAATAGTAAAATCAGTTGCTAGAATATTCCAAAAAATCATTAGATAAGCATGGTGAAAGTGAATACCCTCAGAATTTCTAAATAATTACAGAACAATCTTGCAATTGTCATCCATGTTTTGCAGGACATACTTGGATAATGTATGCTACTTCAAAACATGGATATTGTATATTCCTTTGCCATTTGTAGTCTGATCTGTCTCTTTGGGATTCTTGCCTTTGACCAGAAAAATTAGGCCTTGTTAACACATGCTGTGGCTCACTGAGCCATCAAGCACCAGATATCTCACACTGGCTTCAAAACCAGTTAAGAAATAATAATTTTTTTTTTCTTTGTCTGTCTTGGAAATTCTAGTTCATTTGGGGAAAACCAGAGACTTTTTTCTTTGCACCGTTACATTTCCAATTGCTTTTACAGCATAAGGGAGCAAAAGATTAGAAGTCAGTAAGCCATTCTTGCCCACACAGCACTTCTGGTGCTATCTGGACCCAGGCTCTTCCAGTGCACATTAGTGCTGGCTCCTTGTCAGCCACACAAGGTCTAAGAGCAAGAAAATCAAGAAGTGCAGCTCGAGTATTCCACGGTTTATGAAATCTAGGGTTGCTCACAAGCGGAAGCAAACCCAACCCTCACTCCTCAACCAAAACTAAAAAACCCCACCCGTCTGAAAATGTTTGGAAAGCAATAGAGAGGGGGAAAGGAAAGATCCAGGAATAGCTGCCAGGACATTCAACAGCGTAAGGGTAACTGTTCTGCCGCATCCCTTTTTCTCTCTTGAGTGTTTTCATCACAGATTGCATCCTCTTTCACAAAAACTTCCTTGAAGACTCAATTTACTCATGAAAACGGTTCTCTAAAAAAACCCTTCATTTCCTTGATGTATTTACTTGATTTGTAAATGTGCTAATGCTTTCCACAGGGCTGCTTATAACTACCTACGCTCGTAGAGGTAATACATACCCAAGAACAGCTTCTTACTTTTTTGTAAATACATTTTTACTTTCTAGAGATTCCAACAGTTTATTTGTGCTGGAGCTTCAGCCGCAGTCCAGGGAGCCATGCGGCAGAATGGCTTAACAGAGCGGTGTTGAACTCTAGCTGAAAGAAGGGCTAATAAACAGAAAAAAACCTGCCAGTAGTTATGTTCCAAGCCATATTTTCTAAGGATTTTGTGGGGCTCTTATTCTGCTGAAAAGAGCTTCTCAGCAGAAGGGCTGGATTTTGAATGGACCAGCAACCCTCAGGAGACAAGCAGCAGACAGATACATTCATTTTTAGCTTGGAAGAACTGCATTATTTAAAGCATAAAGGATCCCTTGATATATGCGGTTGGCATCACTGTGAGTGATAGTAACAAAGGCACAACTATTAAAATGCAAAGTGTATTATTGCAGCCTTAGGGGTTTATCTCTTAGATCTTTCCCCTGTACCAATCCAGCAGGGATTTAACGATGTTCTGTCCACAAGTTTCCCCCCAAGAGCTGCGGGGAAGACAGGATTTGCTCCTCAAAGCAAGCTTCAGAGGCACAATGCAGAAAAGAGGAGAAGAGAGAGAGACCAGGGAAGAGCTGAGCAAAGAATAGAGGGAGGGTAATACAAGAGGAAAAGGAGAAAGAAAAGAGGAGAGAGTGAAAATACTGCAAAATAAAAGCAAGTACAACCTGTAGGGCCTGCTTCTCTGAAGTTTATGTTTCTGTACGTTGCTGTGAGGTACGCTTCTTGCAGTCAGTCCTAGTCTAATCTTGAACAAAACATAAAGCTTTTTTTGGCTCCTTGTTTGCTATCACTCTTGCACTGCAGGTGATGGAGTTTCATTTGTGCGCTGTGGATAGTTAAGACATATATGCATAGCCTTTAAAGACCTACTAGTAAGTTTTATGCATAAAGACTTTCTTAATTGGGAATGCTTTTCTCATTCAAGATATAAATGAAAGATTATAAATGCTCACAGATGCTTAGGTGTAGCTAGCTCTTTTCCTGGAGGAGGACAGACTTACATCCAACCATTTGGGTGAATTGCGATTGAAATGCAGATCTTCTTGGGAGGGGTGCAGCTGACCTAATACTATTTTTCGTAAGTCTGCCACTCATGGGGAGAGTAATGCAGACACCCAAATGTTGGTGTCTAGTGCTATTTAAGATGCTTTACAGTATCTTTCCCACTTCCAGCTGCCTCTCCAGAAGTGCACAATCTCTCAGGCATCCTGTGTTGTATCTGCCAGCCCTGCTGCAGGTGCCTTGGATACTCTGGGATGTCAAAAATGGCACTTGGTGCCTATGTTTAGGACCTGAATCAGTCCCAACGTGGTATAGCTGTGAGACGCTTACTCTCTCAGAAGAGTGAGAACAGTTCCCTTTGCAATTTATAGGGAAAGTTAAAAGTAGATCGACTGTTGACAAGTCAGGTTGGCTGGTTTACAAGAGACTACTATGTTCAACAGATGGGAAGAAGCTGCCAGATCTGGATTAAAAGCCAGATCCAAACAACCCAGCGCTTAAAAGTGCTGGATTTTCTACAGTCTGAAGTGTGGGACTCAGGTAAGCAGCAGTAGGTCCCTGGATATAGCTTTACTTCCTAATGCCGGCACCCAAAAAAGTTACACAGATGACTTGTTCCATTTTTATTTTTAATGTTTCTGCATTCTTGGAAATATGCAGTGAAGTTGGGTTTTGCGCTTCATTTTATTTGTCACTATAACCATATTGTACTATTTCTCTTATTCCCACTACGCGTGATCAGGTGGTTATTCAGGAAACCTCCTCTATTTAATAAAAAGGTGAGTGTTTAATGGGATTCGAATGGTGACTGGGGGTACAGAATTGTTGCAGGAGTCCTACTTCTTCAAAAGAAACAAGCAAAGCACTGTAAGTAATGTATTATCCACAAGTGTCCTAAAAAGGACAGGTTCCCTTGGCCACTGTGCTCTGAAGTGCCGGCTGTTTCTTCTCTGGCGTAAATATTCATCAACAGAAGAAAAACTGTTTTAAAGTGTGGATGTAACCATCTCCAGGGCCTTGATCTTGGCCCAGTTAAGCCAACGGAGCATTTCCAGTGATTTTAGGGAAGAGACTAAGCCTTTCCCTAAATCTGTGCTTTGTGTCCCCCTAACTGCATTACTCCTGGTTTGTAGCAGTGTCAACAGACATGGGCAGGTCCACTGTCTTATCTCCATATGGACATGATTGAGTAGCTGCTGGATAGTGAGAGGCAGCAACTCTCCTTTTCAGATGAATTTGGGTGGTCTGTGGGGCAGCTGGGTTTGATTTAGTTTGCTTGATGCTGATATAGTTCTCATCCTAAGGGATTTATTGTTCTGTCCTCTACAAAAAGTAGTAATGAATCCTTGACCTTTGGCACTGAACTTCAGACCACATCCTGATTTGATCTTGAGCCCAATCCTACACATAAACTTGGTTGTCAGCCAAACATAGTCGTCTTCTCCTATCTCTGATTAAAAACTTCCCATCTTGATTTGTGTCTTTGCCCCGAAATGAAACTACTTGATTTGGCTTCTGAATAATACAAAGAAGACAGAAAGCCAGCAGGAAAAACAGTGAAAAAGGCAAGTCCATGAGGGGCAAAAGGAAGAAGCGAAAAAACCTGTATTTAAGAAACTTTACTAAAATACAAAACTGTAAAAAAACTCGAAAAAAAACCTTTCCCAAATGCAGAAGCATAGTCATCTGAGCATTGGCCAAATCTAAGGGAGCTAATTCCAAATGTGATCTCATACAAGCATGGTGTGTGATTGACACTGAGAATGTATTTCCCCATTAATATAGCTGCGTATTTATCTTTTAGCTTGGCCAGAAACCAGCTGTTGGACAAGCCAGCCATAGTTATCTACGCTACAATTGGGAATGATGTCTGCAATGGGTAAGGTGTAAACTGAATTAACATTCATAGCATCATAAATTTGACTTCTTTAGAGTACTGCTGGCTGCTTGGACATTTATGTCTCATTGCTTTGTGCTTCCCCATGACGGCAGTTTTCTTTGCTATTAGTCTGTGCTTCATTCTTATTTTTCTGCTGAAAATACTGGTTGTTACCTTACTTGTATTTCTCATAGCCACCCACCAGTCCTCATTTGGAGCTTGTCTTTCTTTCTTTCACAAGCTGGTGATAAGTGACCAGTGGCATGTCTGAAGTAGAATATTTCTAACTTAGCAGATGAAATGAACAACAGGAGGGGGAAAAAAAGTGTTTAAAAGCATGTATATCCATCTTACCCAGTGTGTCACCTCCTGTCAGGAGGTAGAGCGTGACTGGTTTACCTTTTCTGAAGAATGACAACGTAGTCCCCTGTCGAGGTCTATTTTCACTCTGCCTCTGCTGCACACTGCCTGCAGTCTTTGCTGTGTTCTCCTGACGAGGTGTTTTGTCTTTCTGGCTTTACTCATGTCATAAGCTCAGCAGGAGAATGAACTGAAGCTTTCAAAACAAATAGTTCTGGCATTATCCATTAGCAATGCTCATAGGGATACCAAGAGGTCACTAGTTGGATGCTTCCCTTCCTCCTGATACTGGGAAGGCAGAAAACACCTTGCAACCAGGCCAATGCAGAGCACGTCCATACCATAGTCTTGGTTTTGCAGGTGGTCGAAGTGCTGTTGTTAATGTAACATTATTTTCACCATAATGACTCTTCAGGTTTTCTTTTAAGTGGAAAAAATAAATCTGACTTATGCGGAGACTTTCAAAACACTCATTTTAATAAATGATGCATGCTCAGCTAAGTCCCCTTCCGAAGCTTTTGAAAAGTCTCACCTGCAGGTTGCATAATGAACTTAGAGCTATTATGCAGGCTGCCAGACTTTGCCATTAAAATATCCTGGTTTGGGTTTCCTAAAACTTTGCTTAACAGCAAGTGCTTAGGTTGAAACTTTGCATGTCGGGTGTTGTGCTCCAGATGTGGATGGCCAGAGGCCAGGCAAGGGCAGCAACGCGGAGCCCTCAGCCAGGGCAGAAGCGGGACCGCAGGGGCCGCATTTTAGGTCCTTCCCTGGCACCATCATCTCCCCGGCCACCTGTGAGCAGCACGCAGAGTTAACCTCCCATGAAACATCTCCCTCCAGTGCTCACTACAAAACATCTCCCTCCGGTGCTCGCGCTCTCTCTGCACCCCTGCCCAGAACTGCCAAATCTGCCCTCAGCACCACCCTCCTGTTTAGGGAAGGATGCACAAATCCTCAAAAGTAACTCCACCACTCTTCAACTGAGGGGGAAAAGCAGTCACAGACCTTCTGCTACTTGCTGACAAGACTGTCCTGGGCATCTGTTTATTGAGAAGCTTATGGAGGTATCATTACAGCCAGCCCCAGGATGATGAGCTTCCCCCGCCCCCAGATAGCGCCTTCGCTGAAGTCCATAGTTCCTGCTGCAGAGACTTTCGAGGTGTCTTCTCCTAGGCTTGGCCCAGGCTCTGCTGTGTACATATTTAAATTCTGCTGTTTCACTGACTTTGCTAAAAGCACCTCTTTTTCCTTTGTTTTATTCCTCATTCTGCAGGTTATTCCTTTCACTTCCTCTGTCTCTAACACTGCTTTCTATTCTTGCCTTAAGTAAAAAGAAATTTTCCACAAATTTAAACCATTTTGGCCTTGGCTCACCCATTTGTATGTCCTAAAACAGTGTTTATTACTTGAAACTCTGCTGGTTTTTTATCCCAGCATCCATTACCTGGCAGAGACACTTTTGTCTGCTCAAATCCTATCTATCTGCTGTCTGTTTTCTTCCAAAACATTTGCTGCATCAAAAGAGGCTATCAGGCTGTAGTGATCCCTGTGACTGCAGCGAGGAAAGATGCTGTACCTTCTGTAGAAACATGCTGTTTCCATGCTTTTTCCATCGAGTGGGATGTACAGCGGAGAGCGATTTTTTCGGTGTCCAGTCACTGCGTGTAGCTGCCCTGGCTCTGATGTACCCACAGAGGTTACAGCGGATGCGGAGCATCCGATGGGCTTGACTTCAAACTTAGAGCTTGACAAATAAAAACCTCTTCAAGCACATCTTTAAACTGCAGTAATAGAGCCTTTCTGGCCTTATGCTGTATTTTACCTTCAAAAGAGAGCGGTATGCTGAGCAGACTGGAGACGCAGGTCTTTTAGCCAAAGCATTGTTAAAATGCCAGTATTTCATCCCATGCGAAGAGCAGGGCAGTGAGTAATATGGATGTTTGTAGATGAGAAAGATAATGAAATTGGCAGCCTGTGTTACATGTTCCCAGTAGTCTCCACACTGTGGTGTCCAAACAGGGGGGTTAGAAAAATAAAGACAGATGGCAATGGTATCTCTCAGCCCACTGAGGTGTAAATATGGGACACAATGTGGGACACACAGACCTGGAACAAAAAAAAATTCAGACAAGGAAATAATGAGCACCAGCAGTCTCAAATTCTGTACAATTATTGCACGTATTGGTTGCATTCAGGGTAAGGCGCCATTTCTCCAGCCTCTCTTTTGCAGCTTTGCAGTTATGGCATCTGCAGCAAACAGAAAGGTGACAGCAGCAGAGTGGGGTGAGCAGGCAGCCACCGGGAAGGGAACTTGTACAGAGCGGCACCGGCGCCAGCGAGAGCATAGCACTCCCTTATTGTAAGGCTACCGTCACCAAAGTGCTGCTGCACCCCTCTGGCCCTAAAAATAGTATGTGAGTGTGCAATACCTCTAACTCTCGTGTCCCTGGCACACCACCCCTCTGCAACAAGCTGGAGCTGAACTCCTGTACTGTGGATCCAGCTCTGTGTGTACGTGCATGTGGCATGTGTGAGTGTGTGCACATGGTGTGCCTGCTCACCAGCTGACCCCATAGGCCAGTGGCCCAAACCCTGGGCATGTAACAGCAGGTGGCTGGAAAGCAGTCGTGTATAGCTGAAACATTGGCTTGGGGGGATATTTATTTGGGTTGGGGTCATGTGGAGAGGGGAATTGCTGCCCTGCAGGACATGGCAGGCCAGGCCCATGAACCCCGTGCAGAAGGAGGGTGGAGATCTGCATATGGACTATGCCAGACCCTGTTATAAAGGACTGGAGGAGGCCTCTGTGGCAGAGGAGAGCTGGAAAAGCTTCACACAGATTGCATGAGGCTGTCAGGTCCCTCCGTGTTATATGTGTGCACAGCTAGGGTACCCGTGGCGTTAGGACATCCAGGAGCTGTGTGGACATCCAAGGATATTACTGTGTATTAGTGTATTGTAGGGAGGCAGGGAGTGCTCCCTAAAATGCCCAGATCCAATGCAACAAGAATCCTAACATTAATGTGTGCTTGCTACGCTCTGACACAATGAACCATGGCCAACATCAGCTTCCAGAGGCCGCAGGTGGGCAGAGGCTCTCACTGGCTGCTGCTGCCCAGGGGGACCGTGTGAGGGTACCACAACAGCCACCCACACTCACCCAGGCACCTTGCAGTCCTTATGGCAGAGCCCAAAACAACGTGCCTACGAGATGGCTTGTTTCTCAGTCGGTTTCAATTTCATAGCCTGGCACAGAAAGGAAATGTGAAGAAATGCACTGAAATATCTGCATGACTTCAGCAGAGAATGACAAGAGAAAGTGGAGTAATGAATGTCATATTAATTTTGGCTCACACTGACGTGTTTACTTGTAGTAGAGGCCTTACATCAGAGCACTATTTTGAAATCGAGTGCTGCAACACCTGTAGGTGAAATGAAGTGATTTAAAGGCAAAAACCACAGTCTTATCTCAAAAATACCTTGCTTGGGTGGCTGTCGCAAGGATAAGCCTGAATCTTAACACTGTTTTTCGGTTCTCGCTAACCAGAAAGTCTGAAATGCTTCAGCAGCACATACTGCATTAAGATAAATTTCTGGGCCCAGGGACCTCGTCTAATTATTATTTTGTGTGCAAAATGCAGCCCACTGAAGAATCTCAAATCCTTGCTAGGGAACCCGGTTCTCCCACACAGGACTTAACACCCCCTGCAAACATTTCTAATGCCTCAAGACAGAACAACAACGCTTTTGAAGCTCCTGGTTCTACAGTGTTCACTGACAAGAAATCCTACCTGATTCCCCAGCAGCTCACTCGGCACTGCAAGCATCAAGTTTGCCCTTCTCTTACCCCTGGGAAGCTGTGAAAGAGATTAAAGGACTTTCCCAGGGAAAGGACCTGGATGGAGCCTCCTGGCTGCTAAGCTGATCGCTTCCCTACAAGCCCATGAGGAGAAAATATGGGAACTGCTAAAACAATAAGGATGGACATTAGTGTACCCTTATGCACTACTTGGAAGGACATCCCTTGTCTGTCTTCTTGAGCAACGAGATCAGCTCCTCAGTGGGTGTTGAGGCTTTCTCTCTGAAAGCTTTGGTCCAGCTGAGCTGTACCCCCAAGGCAGGGCCAAAACTGTCACGGGAGCCTGCTTCCCAAGGTGCATGGTCCATGCCATGCACAGCCACACACATTGATGTGCTCCAAATCCCGGCTATGGTTCCCTCGCTGCTATCTCTGGGGGCTCTTTTAAGAGCTTCTGTTGCAAATGCATGTCTTTATTGTCTTTCCCAATTCAAAAAAGGCAACTTATGGATTTACATGCTCTGCTCTGTGTGCCCCAAGGGGGCCCAGGCCACCCTGGAGCTGCCTGGGGTTTGTGGAAGCACACAATGGTGCCCTTCTTTCCATCCCACTGACTCTTTGCTTTGAGAGAGGGCAATGGGACATCTCCGGACAACAGGAGGCTTCTCCCTAGAGCTGGCCCTGCTCTGCCTCCCAGGTGTTGCTGGAACGGGGCCCCGCAGAGCTGGGGTATCTCCCATGCCAGAGACCTGTGGATCCTCTCTTGCTGGGATGGGGCAGCCTCCTCAGGGCAGCATTCACCCACTTGCTCATAGCCCCTGTTACGGACACGTGCACCATGAGAGCATCGCAATTGCTCTCGGGGGGGGAGAGTGGGTGAATGCTTTTTCTGTAATAAAGTGGTTGTTTTAATAACATAACTAGAACAGTGTTCTCTAGGCAGCCTGGGGTGGTTTTGCTTGTTTGTTTTTCTTATATAAGCTGAAATTTATTTCAACTTCAGGATTTTATTTCCCCACCCCCTGCGGCATTTACAGCTAAATGCAAGAGGGGAGGGATAAACCTGAGCCTGGGACTCTGGCTTGAAGAGGTTCAGGCCTGCCAGTGAGCCACAAAATGCGGGCGTTCAGTCCATGTGGGACACTGACACAGCTCCCATACCCTAATGAACATTTCTGAGGACTATTTTATCTTAATTACCTCCTCCCTCCAGCCTCCTCTTCCTCCCTCCAGTCTCCCACCTTTGTCCAGACCCCTTGCTACTCTCCTGCCCTCCTGCAGAGCTGTAGTAAGAGGCATACGACATGTGAGAGACAAAGCTACCATAGATATTTCTACCCGGCATAATCAAAGAGCATGTTGAATGTAAGCTACATGCAGCAACCCATGGGGAAAGAAGCCCTCCTTTCATCTTTCTGTGGGGCATCACGCACCCTGAACCCATGTGTGTAGAGCAGCACTGGTTCCCCCTGTTCAGAGCCGAACCACGGAGGCTCTTTTAAACAGATGAAGCAGGACCCTACAACCCCTTGGGGCAATGGATCCTTTTCCTACTGAAACTTGAGATAGACATTAGATCAGTCAAATGTCAGCTGCAGGCTGGAGTTTGATAAGTACGCCAAGGGCAGTGTCTTTGCAGTCACCAAAAGCAGCATGGACTTTTAAGGACTACAGCTAGGCAAGTTCCTAGGTTTATATCAAGTGGCTTAAGATGCTCTGCAAGAGCTACAAAGAACATGGCACCAGGGTTACCGGCGTAGTTTTACATGGATTTTTAACACCACAGGAAACCAATGATGTGGTCATAGCCTGCTTCATGGCTCTGATTCTCCTCTCTGCACTGTAAATAAAGACTAACTCATTTGCAAACTATGGAATAAAACCCACAGGAGAGCTAAGGCTTTTTTTCTTTATGGAGGTATGCTGGGCCTGGCTAGGATAGAGTTAGTTTTCTTCATAGCAGCTCCTAAGGTGCTGTGTTTTAGATTTTTGACCAAAACAATGCTGATAACACACTTTTTCAGCTGTTGCCGAGCAGTGTTTGCACAGCATTGGGGTCTTATTTGTTTCTCATTCTGCCCCCCCAGTGAATAGATCAGGGGGGTGCACAAGAGGTTTGGAGGAGACACAACTAGGCGGATGACCCAAACTGACCAAAGAGATTCCCTGCTATACAACATCATGCTCAGCAATAAAAAGGGAGAGGAGGGAATTTTAGGGGGGTTAGCCATCTTTTGCTCAGGAACTGGCTGGGCATCGGTCTCCCCATGGGAGGTGATGAATGATTGCCTTTGCATTACTTCTTTTGCTTGCTTTCTCTCTTCTTCTACTTCTCCTTTGCTTATGGAACAATAACTTTTTTTTTTTCTTGACCCCCCAAGTTTTCTTGCTTTTACTCTTCCTTTCCTCCTCCCCCGTCTCACTGGGGGTGGGGGGCAAGCAAGCGAGAGTCTGTGTGATGCTTAGCTGCCCACCGGGGTTAACCCACAACAGGAGGCCACTCTATAAAAAAGGGATACATCTGTCTGTTTTTAGCAGGGAGAAGGGTTACACCGAGGGAGGTTTCTGTATCACTTCTGATTTTGGCAATAACAATGAGACTAAAACACATATAGCATAATTTTTATAAAGTTTTATCTAGCTAACTTACAGCAAAGAAGAAAATGCTGCTGTTTAAGGTGTTTCACAATGTTACCTGACACAAGGTCCTGTTGGCATCCTCTTCTTCTGCAGGAACCGTGACACGCTGGCTCACATGACTACACCCAAAGAGATGCTCTCCAACGTGGTTCAAGCTCTGCAATACCTGGACTCCCGTCTTCCAAATGGCAGCCATGTGATTTTAACAGGCTTGGTAGATGGCCGCTTTCTCTGGGATAACCTGCATGACAGATACCATCCTCTAGGTCAGTATGAGATGTTGTGGGGTCCTCCTGGTTATCTGCTTGCTCGTGTTGCCTTCTCTCCCTGAATAATTTATGAACCTATTGACAATTTCAAGCAAACCTGACAGAGTGGAGGAGATGACTGAGAAATATGAGACAGATATTGGCTGTGTAGTAGAAGTAGCAGAGCCAGCTTACCATCCTCAGTGCAAGACAGGGCAGCTAGAAGGCAGACCCCTAACATGCCTGGTCCCCCCCCCCAAACTGGACCCTCTCAGCTCCAAAGCAGGCTCAATATATGCTCTGACTGTGGAAACAAGCTGTTCTGCCTCAGCCTTGGCCCAAAATTGTGGCCAGCCTGCCTGCACTTCATCCTGGTTGTTGTTACAGGTGGAAGTAGACATTCGGTGAACACCTCCACTCACTGACTGATGGATGTCTTGGTAAAACTGCATGTGGGCCAGGACAGAAGATTAAGTCAGGGGGTTGCGAAAAACTGGTTAGATATTAGAGAAATAAATTTTCTGCAAGCACTGGGTGCCTGCCACCTCATACCCTACCTACAGGTGTGATGATTGAAACTTCACACCATGTGCAGGCACGTTTTGGGGCATTGCCTCAGAGTGCAGTTGCCGTCAGGTGCTTTGGGGCAGTGTTTTCAGAGATTTGGAGGCTGCCTTTGGGAACCTGTCATCTCAGAGTGTCCATGAAACTGTATGTCTGACTGTTGACAGACCACTTGCTCCTTGGCTTCATCCTGTGCCAAGCAGCAAGGAGGAACGTCATCAGAGGGGGCTGCATTCACATGCAACGACGTGTGATGTCCTTGGTTAGTCCAATGGCTGTGCCTCTGGGGTCAGTGTGGAAACATGTCCCTGGGGACGTAGGAGGTTGTAGGGTTAGAAAGCTTGGAAGCTGGTTGCAGAACCCCTTCTCTACAAATTTATACCACCCCGCAGTGGATACAGAAGGTGAAATATTTTATGCAGGTAGCAAAGAAATACAAAAACAGCTAAAGTAAGTCTCTTGTTCTCCAGTCAAATGTGTGTACAAGGAACGATCGTGGCCATTCTGCTGTCAAATTTTAGACCAAAAGCATGTTCTTCTTTTTATTTGGGTAAAGGAAGCTCTCTTGCATCTGAACAAGTGGAATGTTGTTGTCATCTTAGTTCTCATCAGTAAAGAGAGAGAGAAGCTAAATCACATCATTAAAAGAGCAGATTACATCTTCAGATGATTTTGGCAACCACTGGATACTAGAGCTTTCAGCAGACCCTGTGCCATGGTTTCCCCAAGGTTTCCCAATCACTGCCAGTGGCCCCACAGCTTCTGTGTTATCTACTATGGGTTATGTTACCCCTCAAAAGTACTTGCCTCTTCTCAGGAAGTCTGAGGTCTCCATTTCTATTCCTGATACATTGCTACCTTTTTCTCTAATAAGCACTATACTGCTATCAAGTGAAAGCAGAAAAAAAGAAAAATAAAAGAAAAATTTTGTCCCTTTTAGGGCAGGGGGAGCCTATGATAATTATTTTTCAGTCCCATAAATACATTTCTTCCCTTGACTGCATGTTTATCACAGGGACTTTTCTTCTACTGGATATCTAATTATCAGAGACAACACGTAGCATTTTTTGGCACAAGCCAAATCAGGAGTGATTAGCTATAGGACCAGTTGGAAATTTTTCAGAGGGGCTGATTTGCCTTAGGGGGACCCAATTAATCCTAAGCAACATGTTTTGTAGCAAGGGATCACTTCTGGCAGCTCCTCCGACGGATTGCGAGCAGGTTTCCCCACATGGCTGCCAGTCAGGCACGACCAGATGTCGGTCTGGCTTTCTGCTGAATCCCTGGTCCCCAACAGCCCATCCCAGGACCCGATGCTTTCAGGCTCCATGGGTCTGGGACATCCCCATCATCCAGGAGTGACACTAGATCTTTGAGCTCCCCATCTTTTGCTCCTCAGGCAGCTGATACTGCTGCTGTGTGATGGGCAGCCATGAGATAGGCAGGAATCACATTTATACCAGGGAGCCGCTGCAAAGCAACCTGAGGAGCCCGTTACACTTGGTAGCAATCATGCTTTGCAGTTCCCAAAACAACAACAAAAATTTCTTATTTCAGCACTGCAAAAATAACGAAGCTTGACAGGATGATCAGTGTGCTACAAACTCAGAGAACTGAGTGGCCATTTAATTTCCACCTTGGTTGTAGCTACCAAAGAAGCAAAAAGGTTGAGAAAATGGGTAATAATTTTCTCGGCAAGCCAGGCTATTGCATAGCACAGTGAATTTTAGGGCATGTCAGCTGCGTGTTTGGCTTGATGCTTGAATTTGCTCCCCCACACAAGCATATCCACTTCCCTCCGTGACAGCAAAATTGTTCCTCCCTTTTAAGGCTAACCTCTCCGAGGTAAATGCGAAGCTCAGAGTGTATACAGTCACCTCCAATCTTCCCTTCGGCTTTGCAACCCCTGCATTTGTTTGGAGGGTGAGAGACACGTTAATGGATAAAATATCAGTCACGCACCTGGGAGATTGGCACAGGCTGTGATGACTAACCCCGTGTGTGAAACGAATGACCCGTGAAAGGCTGGAGAGGGACGCAGGAGAAGCGGAAGGTGCTCTGCATGCTGTGTGGACACAGGCGCCTTAGCGGGAAGGATGCATTGCTGCCACCTAAGTTGCATCCCAGCTTTGGTGGTGGGAGGGTAACCGGGGGGGGTTGGGGCTCCCGGGGTGTCTCTCCCCACCGAGGGGTCTATGCATGGGAATGCACAGACCTGCAAAATGAAGTTACATTTGGCCATCAGGCACATGAAGTTTCCCTCTCTGTGCTTTGCAGGGCAGCTGAACAGGGACATCACGTACAGTCAACTTTATTCTTTCCTCGACTGCCTCCAGGTAAGGTCTCTGGCTGTAGCTTATGAGCCCTGCTTTCCTCTCGGCCTGCTGCTAAAGCCCCACTCCCTGTGCCTGCCCAGGTGAGCCCCTGCAGCGGCTGGCTGACCCCCAACGAGACCCTCAGGAATTTGACCTCAGAGGTAAGTCTCAGAGGCTGCAAGGGGACCACCCTCTTGCACAGGCGCTCTTCCAGTTTGCCCCTGTGTCTGAGGATATAAGCCTAATATCTCAAAGGCAAGACATCAGCACGCTTTTTTCTTCCAAAGGCGGGGAAAAGATGCGGAAACATCCGTACCCATCCTTTCAAATGCCTCTCAGGCTCTCGGAGGCAGCATGGTTAAGCTAAGGGATTCGTAACTGTATTCCCTTTCCAACCTCTCAGCTGCCCAAATTTATTCTCAAGGGATGCGATCTCCCTGAGACAAAACTGTTCAGGTTCATGTTCTTTAAGGAGAAAATGTACCTGATAAGAAAGAAAAGGATTGTGAATCAAGCAGCTGTGAGTATGAAAAGCCAACTACTTAGATTTTGCTGGCAGCAGGAGCAGACCCTGAGAGCAAGAGCCTTACCCTGTCTTCATTTGGGATTTGTGCTAATCTTCCTCAGACACATTTCTGTGGACTTAATCGCCAGATGGTGTGACCAAGGAGCATCCAGGCTCAGTGCAGGAATGGGAACAGACAGAACAGAGATGTCTTAAAAGTCACCCTAAAAATCTGGCTGCAGAATTGAATGTCACATAATATCAGCTCCTTATTCCCTTACGGTACAAGCTGATTTTTAATCCCAGCACCCCGCTGCAGCCATGTAAAAGAGCTAGTAATCAAATATTGTCAAAGATGTCATCGCTGTGTATAGTTGTATTAATGTTTGCATTCACTAAATGAAAAATATGGCCTTAATTTCTCCAAGGCTTACATATGTGTTTCATTTTATGTCCTGTCCCTCTTGACTTCAGGGAAAGCCATTAAGCACAGTCCTAAATCTTTGCAGGATTGCAGCTTATATATTTGTACCAACAATACAGAACATACAGTTCATGTAACTTCTGTCCATGAACAATTCATATGTCTGCAGGGTATGAATTAATCTTCTTTCTGAGCCCCTGTCTGAAACTAATTGTCTGTGTTATTATCCAAACTGCACAATTTAAATATTTAGGAGAGCCTGATCTCTGTTACGGCTGTAGAAATCACCCAGGATATATCAGTTAAGTAGATGCTCAATGAAGGTAATTTACTCTGCTGAATGTAAGGGCAGAATTTGGTCTGGATAGATAAGTGTTGGCACCCATAACACAGTAGCAGGAAGGATAATGGTAAAGGAGAGCATTTTTGCTGTAGAAAAGTTTCAGTTTTCTTTAAGAGGAATGAAGGTGACTGGGCTGCCACTCATCAAGAAGCCTCCGAAACCAAGACATTCAAAATACTTATATACGCATAGAGACACTACTAAAAGAGGTCTCCAGTAAAATAACCATATGCTGTATTAAACTTATTACATCAGCTGAGGCCTCAGTGCAACCTGGAATGACATATTGCATGGTGAGCTGGGTAGCCCAAAGGCTGGTGGTGCTCACGCCAAGTCTACGTTATGATGAAGAACCCCATTTCACCTTCTTTCCCCCAGCTAAAAGGGCAACATTGGCTTTCAAATTCCTGACCGCGCGTCGGTGACAAAAGCTGAATCCATGCAAAGCAGTGCAAGTAGCAATGAATTGTCATTAAATCGCTTGATTTTTGCAGAGAGCTTTACAACTTTCCAATGTCCTGAAAGAAATAGCAACATCTAAGAAATTTGCCAACTTTGATATTTTCTACATGGATTTCCCACTGAAACAAAGTAAGTTGTTTTTTTCCCATCTTTCTCGTGAAGCATTTAGTGAAGTGCTGGGCTGCTAATATGCTTCTCATATTTTAGCTGTGTACCGGGAGAAGGGCAACATAGCCAGCCAGCCTATGCGACCCTGCAGGCAGGGCTGGGGCCAAGGAGGGACCCTTAATGCCATGTCCCAGCTTCCCTGGTTGGGGTAACTGTGGACCTCCGACAAGATGAGACCCCATCACCAGCCTAGGGGCCACAACCTCCCCACTGCTCCCGGCTGCCAGCACCCACAATCCTGGTGCACAGCACACTGGCCATTTGCACTTGGGTGACAGGAGGCGTTGGTGGTGAGACAACAGGGACAGGAGACGAGCCTCTGCTAAAAATGCCTCCTGCTTGTCCACTGCAGCTTCTCAGGCTGATGAAGAAAAAAAGAAATCTCAAACCTATCTCGGTCCATAAGATTTGGTTTTATTTTTGATCGTTGCTTTTATAGGGGGTCATCTAGGCTGGAGACGGCATATCCGCAATGGTGAAGGTAGTCTTCTTGAGCTGTAGTGTACTACTTCCCATTGCCTCCTCTGGGATGAGCAGTGCCTCAGGAAGGAGAACTTTTCTCAGCCAGTTTTTCTGCCTGAATAACACAGCCACCTTCTCTTAACTCACTGTTTGCAAAAGTAGAAGCACCTCTCCCAGGAGGAACTGGCTTCTTGGCTATGCTTCCTTAAGCACCTACATACTACTGTAACTTTTGTCTTGATGAGCTTACAAAGCTCATCTTTCTGTGCTCTTAAGTGACATTAGGTAAGCACATTACCATTACCTAAATCACTTCCTTCTGCAACTAAAACTGGCTTCTTGGCTATGCTTCCTTAAGCACCTACATACTACTGTAACTTTTGTCTTGATGAGCTTACAAAGCTCATCTTTCTGTGCTCTTAAGTGACATTAGGTAAGCACATTACCATTACCTAAATCACTTCCTTCTGCAACTAACCCTTTAAAAAAAAAAAAAAAAAAAAAAAAGAATGAGAAACTTTTCCTCATTACCATGAGCATGAGTGGACAGTGCCCTTGTGGGGCTGGGGACAAACACCTGTCCCTGGATCCCTCTCAGCTCCACTTCCCTTGTGAGATGCGCGTGGGTCCAGGTTAAGGCACCACCCAGCATCAGCCCAGCTCCGTCGCAAGGCGAAACGCACTCACTCTTTCTTTTTAAAAAAAAGAATCAGGGATTCAGGTGGGCAACATATTCAAGTAGTTAGATAGTGATGGGAAAGTAGGAAAACAGCTTTTTCCCTGAATCCAGCCTGATCCTCCCATGTTTCAGCTTATGCCTGTTGTCTGTCCCTCACTGCGCACTGCTGTGAAGAGACTGGCCCCGTCCTCATCGCCTCTGCGTAGGCTCTTCCCCAGCGTGGACTGTCCCCGTCCCTCAGCCTCCATTCACAGGGCAGGAGCTCCAGCCCTGGCCACCTCAGGGCCCTCCCCGATAGCATGAATTCTTACATTCCAAAAATAGTATATAATAATAGGAAAAAAACCCTGATCTGCATTTCCTTGGTTTTATATTTACATAGAGAGGTAGTTACACGTTGGTCCTTCTTGAAAAATTTTGCCTGGGGACTGTATTTTAAATGCCAGCATGCAGACAGCTAAAACCAGAGCCATGAAGGGACAGAAGCACCCTGGCAATACTTCAAAGTGTGCATCTCTAACACCTCTCCCCATCAGTGCCTGGCTGTCCTTGGAAGCACGAAGCTGCTGAGGCACCTAAGATTATTGCAAAAATCTCATTTGCAGCCAAATCCTATCAAAATTCACAAACTTATTTTATCCTGCATGACCCAATTCAGGAAGCTGGTTCTGGGTCTCATGCAGACCATACGGAGGAGGAGGTAAGGAAGGGAGGATGGAAGAGGGAGTCTTTCTCTCCAAAACTTTATCTCAGAGAGGTGGGCTCTACTGTCAAGTTCGATACTGTAGCACAGATTTTTCAGGATGTCCAAGTCGCTTTGTGGCTTTGGCCTCAGCTACTTAATATTTAACAAGTCATTAGGATTTGGAACAAACTACATGCTGGGTAGGCAAATTATTTTAATAAGTTAAATGACTAACTTTAGGTAATTTATTTGCTTTTACGAAAAGAAACATCTTAATATAATTTGCTGTTCTTGATTACATCGCGTTAAATAAATGAGGTAAACAAAATCACACATGCACATACAAACATCAGCTCTGAAAGACACTTCGCAAAGTTTCCTGCAGACCTGGAGCCAGCGATTCGAGCTTGCTGTCAGGAAAGCTGTCAGTTCATGAGTGTGCTCGAAAGCCAGCTAAGGCTGCTGACCTACTTTTCTGGTCTCTTTCTGAAGCGAGTGCAGATCCTCCCCCAAACTCTCCAGACATCAAATATTTAGCAGTGGTTGCACACTGTGATGAGTGCATTGCTTTCAGGCTGGTCTGGGCATATATATATATAGCCGCTCCCAGCTTTCTTGGAGTAAAATTTGAGTATACCAGCATTTATTCTATATTTAGATGGACATTCAAGCTCAGAGGTTGCCTTTGGCTGAAGAACTTAGTGGTTCCTTTAAGAAGCAGTGCAATAAATACGGTGAATAGGAGTTGCTTGTTTTGGCTTTTTCTTGGTGTGGATGGGAGCAAGCTCTTGTCTAGTCTAGCCAAGGCAATAGGCACTTTTAAGACAAACTCTGGACATACTGAGTTGGTGGATATTTCTTCAACTGCTCTAGGATTTTTGGAGATCAAGTATAACGGTTTAAATTTGCCTATCTTGATACAGACCTTACTTATCTTACTTTCTCCTCTGCTATTTCTGGCAGTGGAACAATAGTCTCTCTACAAAGTAAAACACAATACACAGCCTCATACTCAGTGTATAACACCATATATAAGGGGTTAGGCAAGCTCGCTCTGTGCATCTGTATGTGCGCTCCGTGGTGTAATCTGAGGTGAATAAGTGTTGTGCCCAACATATTGCAAATTTGAAACAAAGCTCCAAGCCCTGTGTCTTGAAGACAGGTTACTTTGGGTGCTGACTGAAGCACTTCAAGTAGGTTTCTATAATCAAAGAGGGAATATCACCCTTCTGTGAATTCAGAGCTAGTATGAGGACCCAGACGTCGCTTTTTGACAGAACAGCCAAGGTCCAAACAGTGGTGAGTCTAGGTCAAAACTGTGGTGCTTGAACGGAGAACATTTTCCCCCTGACAGGATGCCTGCATAATGCTATTAAGAATTCTTAATCTGTCATTATAAAAGAAATTATTGAATTTACAGTCTGTTAATGCCATATCCACTAGTCCTATGTTTGATCACTCCACAGCCCTTTTGAAGAGAGAAAGCTTTTTACTTCTCTAATGGCTCTGGGGCTTACAGCACAGCATCATTTGCATTGAATGTCATCCTTATGTAATTCAAAAAGGTTATTTTGTTGGAGTTGAAAAAGATGGCTCAGAAGAGAAGTAACTGAAAATGACAGTCTATTCCTGCAGACATCAGCCCATGCGAATATTGTGTTACCATCTCTTTCTCTAAAAAGCACTGTTTTCTTTCTCTCTTTTATTTTTTTGCACTGCTGAAGATGCAACTAAAATGGGAAATGCAAAAGTATTAAACCACTATTAAATAATTTACAGCCTTACTCGCTACAGCATCTGTCTTAGTTGGGAGGGAAAGTGAATTGTTTTATGATCATTTATGTTCAAAATTCTTCCTTGCATAAATATAGCAGATAAAAAAATAATAAAGGTTTAAATACCGCCCCAAGGAGAGGGAATTGTACACAATATTGGCTCTGACAACTTTATATGAATTATCATTATCTTCATGCAGAGCCGCCGCGTGCTTAAAAATACCAGCGGCGCTTTGAGGAAGGGGGGGTACGTCTCCAGGCAGGTGCCTACGTGCTCACCGGTGATAACCCCTCTGCTTATGTTGTTCACAGCGGCCGAGGAGTGGCAGAAGATGGGAGGCGAGCCCTGGCAGCTGATTGAACCCGTTGATGGCTTCCACCCCAGTCAGGTAAAAACCCGGCCCCGGGAGACGGGCGGGAGGCGGTGAGATACCAGCACCTGCCGCTGCCCGAGGCACCCCGTCAGACCTTGGGGAATTTCTCTTTAGAAAGAGATGATGGCTTTAGCCCCAGAGCAGATGCCCCCGTTTCAGCTGCCTGCGCACTCTGCTCTAACTCCTGCAAGATCGTCTGCTGCTTGCTTTCTCTCATTGAGCAGTAGCCCTGGCCAAACGAAACCAGACCCTTGCCACATAGGCTGGCTGGCTACCTGCCTGCTCAAACACGCATGGGAGTTTTGCAGGATCAGGGCAGTGGTGCAGCACTGGGAAAACCGGAGAGGCCCCCTCCAGCCCAGCCCCTACCCCTGCCCACTCAGCTTCTGAGGCCAGGGGTCCTCAGAGGAGCAAAGCTTTCGTTTTGAAGCTATAAGTTTAAACTGCTTTGTGTTCAACGGCTGCATAGTATGAAGAAGTGTTCTCCCACTTGCTTGGCCTCCAAGGACAGGTGACAGGGGAAGGTTCACAGCCAGAAATAAATGAAAGGGAAGGAGAAGCAGCTGCTTCACTGTAAGTCCTTGCTTGGGTTCGCTAACCGAGTGTGAGGTTGCCTGGTTCCCACTGCATTTGATTTCAAAGTAGTTTTTTCTGACTCTCTAAAATGCTTGGGGAGAGCATGTCCTGCAGTTAGCTACAAACAAAGCCAATATTGCTTTTCTATACTCTAGCTTCAGATTTCAAACACGTATACAAAGCAAAGCAGCAGCCAGTCTTCCCCATACCGCCCTGAGAAAAACTGCATGAGCTGAAATCCCATGTGCAGCCTGTAGCAGCAGTGGCTCGCAGCAGTGGGCACAGCCTGACCGGGGCTCTCCTGCCGGCCACACCACGGTCAGCCCCAGCCACTAAGTCAACACAGGGTGGTGGGCAGGTCCCAAAAACAAAGACCACTCCTGTTTCCCATGCTTTTCAATCTCGACTCTTCAGAGCAAGAATTAGGCTAGGCTAAATTACAAGGTGACAAATTCCAGGAGGTGTGCAAGATGGAGAGGAACAACAACAGCAGAGCTGATTTTCCCCTCTCTGCCAGAGGGCTCTGCCTGGCAGCAGCAGCAGCTGCTCTCCATCCCACATACTTAGCAATGGGTCCAGAAGTTTCTTGCTACCTGCTGCTATGAGGGAAAGGTGCCCTCCAAGCAGCCAGCCCCACTCCCAACACCCCTGCCCTGCCCAGGGGTGCAGGCCTGGGCGATGGCTGAGAGAAGGAGGAGTGATGTTCCTTGGTGATGTTTTTGTGGTGCATGGTACCAGCTCTGTGCCATGGTGAGAGCAGTTTGGAGAAAGGTGTTGTCTAGGGCCGATGTGGCCTTCCTCTGTGCTCCCGGCTGCGCGCTCTCTTCCACCCCGGCATAACACAGCCGTGCAAGCGAACCCCGCCGCGCTGCCCAGCCCCCGGCAGTGCTGCTTGGCAGCTCCCCCTCCTCAAAAGCACGGGGTGAATTTATGGACCAGTTTTATGATGTGAGCTAACACCTCGCATATATTCACCCCCACACCCCCATCACCAAATAACCTGATGCGATGCTGTCTTGCATGCTGGGAGAGAGCAGTCCGTGGAGAAGCACTTCAACAGGCATGCGTTGCAAGCACTGATGGATTCCAACATTTCGGCAGCTCCCCCCTTGACTATGCTGTCAGTTCAGCTGGGGAGACCTGCAAAGAGAAGCCCAAAGGCAAAATATGTGCTTTAGTTGTTATCTTTTACACCCATGCTGGTCAGCTGGAGCAATACAGTGGCTTGCTTAGCCTTGCCAAGTCAAAAGAGCCTCCTGTTCGAAGAGGGACTCCTTCATAGCAGAAATTCCTGCCTGGCTACCAAGCAGTACCAGGAGATAGCTGCATGAACCATGAGCTCACAGCCTGGGGAGGTGGGGAAAGTGTGTCTGGATTTTTTGCTGCAGGCCTTTTGCAAGGAAGTAATTAGAGAAAACTTGGCAAATTATATGAGAGTGAAAACAGTGATGAAATGAACCCCATTCCCAACCCTGCCATCTGGGGAAACTGCAACACAAAGAGTCTGGAGTGAAGAAGAAAAGGTCTTTGCATTATTTTTATGTCTTACCCTGAGGCTGGCCTGAGGCTTCTTATAAACCCCAGCAACAGGGCACTGAGGCAGCCAAACTCGCCAGATCACAGCTTTTCATCCAGGCTCTTGCCCACATCCCGTATCCCACCAGCAGCTGGAAAGTAGCACCGAGTTGAAGGCAGCAAGCATTTATCTTAAAGGAATCCTGCCTAAGCCAAAAGAAAATTACAAAAGGGCATTGAAGGGCAGCTGCAAACCTACACGAAGCCCCTGGAGTGCCAAGCTGCAGGATCTGGCCAAGCGCTGCCATATTTTACTCCTTCTGGACCTGGCATCCTGCAGTGGTTATGATCTCCCCGTCCTGCTGTTAGGATGACGTTAATGCTTTTATAGGTACATTTTCCCTTACAGTCAAGGTGCCAGCTGTAGATATGCCTCACTTCAAGTGAGTTATTTTCCTTCTAGGATTTATTAATTAGGCTTATCCAAACATCCACCTCTTTAAATCCATTTTTCTTTTCCTGCTCGTATACGGAAGTCTGTTATCAAGATACCACTATTTGGACTGAGACGTAGCACTCTGCTCTGAAAGAGTGGCTCTCTTACTAAAAAGAAGGGGAAGTGTGAGCAGAGAGTGAGATTTAAGAGGACGCTTGAGAGAGATGATAAACAATTCACTCCCTCCTCGTACTAGTTTTATTTAAAGTTTTACTTTATACTGATGTGAATGCCTCTGGCCCGGTACAGCTTTCATACCATCTAGAGCTGCCTAGCAGGAGACGATTGATGCTGTGCAGCTCGTCAAGTGAATGGGGGCTCTTACTTCACTCTGCAGCTATTCCCCACGCTTCACGTACAGCTTGACTAATAAACACGGTGGATAAGACCTAGCCTGGGTATTTCTACTGAATTTTTTCTCTGAAGATCTCAAAGCACTTGACAAATATTCACAGATTTTTTAATTGAGCAGCATTCCAAGGAAAGCATAAACATTTTAGCTCTTGCCTTCAGATGCAGAGAAACTTTGGAGTTTGGGGTACAAGAACCACAGTGCCCCTTTCTGCCAAGGGTGAGCTGGAAGGGTACCCCGATCCCTAGTTGCTATGATACAGCAGTGGGCAGAATAAACTGGTGTCTGATGTTCGCTCCTGGATTTCATTTGCATTTATCTGCTGTCTTTTTCATTAAAAAAAAATAATCTGCTGGTATAAACATGGCCGAAGCAGGTGTCAGCATGTATATCCAATAGTCCTGCTGTCCAGCCATGCAGGAGGGATGTGGAAGGGAATTGAACCTCCCTAACCGAGACTTGCGTACTTATCATTGCAAGGAGAAGGAAAAGAAAATAAGAAAAAAGGCAACACTCCCTTTGCCCCATTAGAGCTATTCTGTTTTTTTCATGCATTGGAAAAAGGCAACGTTAGGACACTCGGGGAAAAACTAGCCCCCATAGTCCCCACTCCAGGCAGTATTTTATATTTAAAAACCCTTGAAAGAAGGGATAAACACCAAAGTGCTCATTTGTTTAGCCAAGCCCAGAACTACATTCCCTTACTGCAAATTTCTTGGGGAGAAAGGGTTTTTTTCTGCATGCTTACCTGTTGCAAAACAGAAGGCTGCAAACACGACACTCATTCTTGGCATAACTGCATTCCTCTTAAGTTTCAAAACTAAAATTGGGCTCCATGAGGTTTTTTTCCCAGAACACCCAGCTCAGGCTGTAGGTGGAAGAAATTCACACCATTTACTTTTGACACCTAAAAGGAAAATGCATCTCTCAGTCCTCCTAAGTTCCCTCTAGAGCTGTCTCTGAGACACCATTCCCCAAAGTCAGACTCAGTTGTCCTTGGAAGAAATCTGACTTTCTCTTCCCATTGACTGTAGTGGAAGCCCAGGGACTTTTTTTTCAGCATCTCTCCCTTACTACGAAATCTCACTGCAAACCATTCTGAGTGCCAGATGGCTTCAAGGACATTACTTCTCTCTAGAACAGCTGATTGCTTTGTTTGGATGACAGGGCCATGCATTTCAACAGGATCCTGCATAAACGGCTTCATTTCTTGCTTTTATGAAGTTACCAGGGAGAACGCGAAAGCCCTGAGCGTCACAAACTGGAACCTGAGATGCTTGGAAGATTCTTAATGATTATGCACAGGCAGGAAAGCACAGCTTGAGCGTGATTAGCTTCTCCCTTTTCTCTTTCCTTAAGACATAGCAAAGCACATTCCAGCCAGAAAAAAAAAAAAAAAAAGAGAGAGAAAAAAACCTGACATGACATATATCAGATTAGTTGGGTATTTACACTTTGCTGAGAGGCATGCCCATTGCCAGTTTGGTGCAGAATGAGGAAAGTGAGAGCCAGAAACTGCTGAAAAAAACAGCTACCTCCCAGTCGTGGTCACACAGGGGTCTATGAGGAATGGTTAATATTTCCTTTAAAAAAATTGCTTAGAGGTTGTCGTCCTCACAAAATATTAATTGCAAACAACATACAAATTGTAGTAGGTTTCAAAGCACAAGAGCTTTGGAATTTAAAAAAGATCTACAAGAAAAGTGACGTCTAGCATCATGAACCCTCTCTGTGCCACACTGCTGATCCGGAGTAAATTGTCAAAATCATCAGGACCACATGCAATGATGTCTGAGCAGGACCTACGTAATTTAGGGCAGTCGAAGAACATATGCCTTAAATAGCAGTCAATAGTAGTCTGAATGCTGTAGAGCCTGCCTCTGGTGATACTTTTGCAGAGGGTGCACCATGCAAAGATAGTAGGGTTTTTTAAACCAACCAACCCACCCTGCTAAAAAGCATATGGGAGGCTTAGGGACTTGTGAAGGAGGCTTGCAAACTACCATGTCGGAGTGGACCACTGACAGAGACAGGTCTCAGCCCCCTGGCAGCCATAGGGTGTCCCAGAATAACCATGTTTGGTCACATTAGAAATTTTGACCAGGAGAAAACACCCTGTTGCACGATCTCGCTATCCCTCTCCCCTGCCCCGATTCCTCTGTTAGCTTAATGAGACCTTGAGTGACCAGAGCCTAGGAGCTTCCACCCCACAAAAGTGTCTCTTTGTACATTAGCTCTGAACAAAAGAAAGCTGTTGTCTCCTGGCCCATCATTACAGTTTTTTTCAAAAAGCACAGGATTTAAAAAGAGGCACATAAAAATTCTCCAAAGGCTCCAGACTGTTCCCAAACTCTGAAACATCAGTATTCAAATAGTTTGATTCCATAAACCCATCTTGGACCTTGATAAAAGGCTTTGTTAGCCCTATTTAAGCCTCAGAATTATAATCCGTATCACAGTTAGTTTTAGGATTGAAAGTAAAGTTACAATATAAGCAGAATATAATTGTAGGTCAGAAATTAAAACAAAAAATCCATTAGCAGGGTGTGAAACTTGGATAAAGGAGAGTTGGTCTGTTCTCCCCTTTTCTCATACCCCTGATGTTTTTCACCCTGGCAATATAGTGGATAGAATTTCTCTTCGGTGCATAACTTCTAGGGCAAAAACTCTACGAAAGCTAGAGTGGTTCTGACAGCAAGTAGAAAAGCTATTTTACCACTTCTGCAGGTCTCATGGAAAAAAAGCTCTGAAGGCAACCAGCAGGAGGTGTGAACTTAGAGCATCAGAGCTGCATAGTTTCAAACCTAGATATAATTGGGCCTCTTTTTCCTCAACACCCGTGGCTTCCTTATAGGATAGCAGAGAGAAAAATTATTAGAAGTATCAGAGGTATTTAGGAGCATGAATTCCTTTGGACTTGCAAGAGTTTTATGCATTATATCCAAGCACTGCTTTTGAAATACTTTCAAAATGTTTTGGGGGCGGGTGAAAGCGAGGGCTTTTGAATAGAAGTTTATGGACCAGACATCATCAGCATCAGGAAGTGGCTGGAGACTATCATTAGACCGAATGATCGGTCAGGGAGATGCAGATATATAGTCCTCACGTTATTTTTACTGTTCAGAAGGATTTTTCCCCATTCCAGCAGCTGGAATAGGGTATTTTCTTTGGTTAGAGGTTACGGTCCATCTCGTGGCTATGCAGGGGAGTCTTCTTTATGGTGGGGTCTCCTAAGTGCTGGCATGAAACAGCTACATTGCAGAGGCACAAGAAACTGATAGTATTTGTGCTGTTTGCAGATTGCTGCAGCCCTTGGAACAAGCATTACCTGGCAGAAGATGCTACATGAATGGCCTCAAGTGCTTGGAAAGGAGAATCCTTTCAACAACCAGATTGAAGCTATATTCAAAGATCAAGGTGGACACTGACTTCCTAACTGCCACAGCCCTGACGCGGTTTACGGTGATGCTTCCCGGTTCATTCCACGAAACAAGATGATTAAAGACACACAGAAAAAAAAGGAAAGGCAAGTTATCAGAGCCAGCAGCAGTGGACATGACAAAACAGCATTATTTTCAGTCTTGCATCTCACCTGCACAAGTAGGCTATGCTTTTTCTGTGGAGCTACAAAAATAAAAATCAAAGGATACCTGCCACCTAGTCCATTTATTGTACTGGTTTGCAAATCCATACAATTTTTTCCATATATAGCAAACTCCTAGTCCTACCTCATGTTTTTCTTGACCCTGCAGAACATTATTTCCAGCCTTTCCATTTGTACTATTTCAACAGTTAATCTGATGCCAAAAGGGGGCGATCCCCCTCCCAAACCTCATTATGTTGCTATAAATTGTGTGTATGTAATGGCCCTGACTGTCAATACATTATTTAGCTGCTATTTGCTTATTAAAATGTGCCAGGAATAACAAGGTGCTAGAATTTTTATTTGTCTGGCAGCATTAGTGCAGGCTGACTGAGCACAGGTTCTCTTCCCCTCCCCATTAACAAGACAGTAACTTGACAGCCCTTCATGTATTCAAAACAGGTTGCTTCTTCAAGCTTTAATATATCTTTGCTCTTTTGCTTCCTAACAAATATGATCTACCCAGTCCTGTAACTTTTACAGGCACGGCCCAGGGAATCACTGATAATACCGGGCAGCCCTTACCTGCTCTACTCCACGTGCAGAATTGAAGGTTGAGAATTAATAGTAGTTTTTTTTTTCAGCAGCTTATCTGATGCTCTTTGCAAAATAAACAAACAAATATATATATATATATATTTAAAAATAAAATTAGGGAAAACTCTACCCTACTCGCAGCCCTGCTGATGACGAAGGGATCAGACAGCAAAAATATCACTAATTCCACATGAAAAAAGTCTGGTAAATAGAAAGTGTTAACATGGCATGACTGAAACCCATCCAAATTAGCCAAAGCTCAGGCAGACTTACTCTGCTCTTCGTTCCGAACGCGTCCCGTGCGTAAGGCTGCATCACCCGTGAGCCAGCTCTTAGGCTGCGGTCCAAACTAAAGGAACTATGGACCTTGGCACACTGGCCATGGCTGTCGGAGATGCGACTGCTCAGCATTTTGAATAGGCAGAGGATGACTTGCTCATGCTATTTCAACTGAAGCACGTATTATTGCTATCCTAGATCCTCTTCCTTTTTTTAAAGTACAGTCAATGCCACATCTTTTATTAAGATAGAAATTCCTTTGGGACAACTGCTAACATTTAAGGAAATATTCAAGTTACCTACTTGAGGAAACCAAAAGGGAATACATTCCTTAATTGAATGATACTTACTAATAAGGCCCCAATTCATTCAAGGCATTTAGATGTTACCAAAATACCCAGTCTCCCAAGAAACAGTTTCGACTCCACAGAGGCATGTCTGAGGAAGACTGTTTAGCATTAGAAGGCAATCTACCTGCTTCCGCTACAAATTCTCTCCACCAAACAGCGTAACATTCAATGCTCACTGGCCAGGTAGAACACCTTTAACTATTTTTTATTACCTGTTCAGGTATCTTCCGTTAAAAACAACTCAAGGACAGAAACAAGTGCATCCACATGGTTTTACTATAGACCAAGTACAGCACAGACAATAATTATAGAATATCAAATAATTTCCTCTACACCAAAATACAGAAATGTAGTAATTAAAAGGGGGAAGGGAACAGCATGTGTTTAGAAGCCAAATTTTCAGGCAATCTCATTGCAAATTATTGCATTTCATTTGAGGTTGGGATTTAATAACGCCAATTAGGAGTTTTACAAGCTAGTAAAACTGAATTTTCCTCAGCTAAAATAAGCTCCATTGCCCAGAGCAAAGCATTTTCCATTTATAGACTTTCTTATTAGTGAACATCTTTAATTTCTGAACTACGGAAAAAAAGCTTTCTTATAAAATTAGAAGAGCATCTTCTCAAAGATGACCTGAAACCCCCATAGCTGAACCCCAAAGCAAAGCTCTCAGATTTGCCCAGTATAGCTGCTCCATGCTTGATCGGTGGTCTCCGAGGGGCTTCGTGAAATGGGCTTGCCACCGGCTGAAGGAGCGCTAACCAAGCCGTGTGTCCTTATGCCTCAGAGGTGAGCTCTGCAGTTCAGAACTGGGCCGCATGCAGAAACTTGGATTGGTAACTAATGCAGTAACTGTTTGCAAATAAAGATGAATTTGGGGCCTATTAAGCTGTCAGCTTTTACAACCACTATGTCTCTCCATTATTTCAAAGAATGCAAAAACCAGCTGAAGATCTGCACCCCCAACCATCCATCACTTACCAGTACCGTTCTAAAGAGAAATGTCCTATATTTAAACAAATGCTTCTGAAAAAGCTTACTTACTCTAAAGCAGTAACGAACTATGAATCCTAGTCTGTTCCATTAGTTTAACTGTCTCCTGGTGCTTACATTGGTTGAAGGTGACAAATGCATGGGAAAGAAATAAGCAACAAAAAGTTTCTCTTGGAAAGCTTAAGCATAGTTCCATGAAATTCAACTTTATAGCAGTACAGATTTCTAGAAGGAATGGTCTATCAAGGTCTTTTTTGGGGGAGAGTTAGAGCATGTGAATATGGGGGGATTATGTCACTGCCTAGTTCCAATGCACTGCAAATAGGAAGGGTTTTTTTGATGTTATTCTGCTTATAAACTGTTTTTACAAAACTTAAAGCTTGTTTGAAATCAGACAGTAGGAGCTATTTTTGAGGTATAGAACAAATAGCTTCAGGTAACTATAGATGAATTCACACAGTCTGGCCTCTTCCAAAAGGATCCACTACAAACATGAAAAAATACGTTTGCCAACGTTTTCAAAGACTTTTCAACAGCTCACCCTTAAGAGGGCAGGGGGATGGGGAGGGAGGTACACAGCAGTGCAAGTCAGTCAAGCTGTACATGCAGGCTTGGTGCTAAGCTTCTGTCAGGGGCAGTAGCGCGCGTCCTCGCCACTGACGGCTTGTGCCTAGAACTCACCACCCAGGCAAGTCAGAAAAGCTGACATCACCCGTTACACTTCATACCTTTCCTGGATGAGGATAATTTTTCATCTTGGGCAATGAACAAACACAGGCTAGTTTCTACAATGGATAATAGCCCAATTAGCCTAAACAAAAACAGGTCATTCCCTTAGATGTATCCAGTTCCATTCTTAACACCTTTCTATGGACTCGTTTCATGATTTTGTATTTAATGATTTTTATTAACATCCACTTGCAAGTTTAAAGTAGACAGCCTACCGTGGATCCACAGATGAAGTTTGCTCTTCTACTGTCCATGTCGTATTGCTACTCTGCTGCCATGTCTCCGTCACAAGAGAAAAGAACCGTCTCTCCTCTCCGTACTTGATGAACTGCTGCTCTCTAGCAGCCTCTACATTCATATACGTTCCAACCAGCTCACGGTAACTGCACACGGACAACCTGGCCTCCAACTACAAAATTCGGTGCTAGCTACCCCTGAGGCATCACATTATCTTCTCAAATCAAGCGGTATTTTTGGATACACATACTGAATAGAGTCCTTTCTTAAACGCTGTGTGGAGTCCAGCTTGTCTTCTCCAGTCTACAAACTGGTATCTCGAACGCATAGATGACATTATGAAAAAAAAAAAAAGTGTTTTATTCTTTATTTTAAATGAATAAAATAAATCTCAATACATAGTTTGGAAATATTTAAAGACATCAGAAAAAGAAAACTAGATTTAAAAGCAGGAGTACAAAATTGGCAGGATGCAAACAGTATAAGCTAACAGAATTTAGTGTTTCAAGTGTGAATATATAACAGCAATAGCAAGTTTAAGTATTCCACTATTGCATTCGCAATAGTGAAGTAATGAGGCAGTATTTCACTAAGCCCAGTGAAAAGCTTTGAAAATTGCAAGTTTTAACTGAACAGTTTTGCCATTTTAATGATGGGTCTGAAGTAATGTTTTTATCTGCATTTATGGACATGTCTATGAGGGGGATGAAGACCCATACTTTAGGCCAGCAGAGTATTAGTTGGTACATAGCAGCTTCATAGTGTCTTATAACACAAGCACTTTTACAACCTATTCCTGGTTCTCAAATAGAGGAGAATTCTAGCTTGTACAAACCATGAGTCCCAGGAAATACTGACATATACAATCCTAAAACTAATTTTGTTTTTTTGGTTTTTTTTGTTGTTTTTTTTTTTTTTTTTAAATCTAGCAGTCCTAACAAAAATATTCGAGACGTTTCATTTCTATCAAAGTGCAATATACTGCATACATAATTCCACACCTGTAAACCACATAGGATACATGCCATGCACTTATCCATGCAAGTTTGTGTAAGAAATTGCAAAAGTAGTATGCATATATTGTGCATGTCTTCTGTTTTGTCCACAAGGACACTGTGCAAGCAAGAAATACCTATACTGCATGCTGTAGAATAAAATTTACTAGTAACTTCTATGCCCGATCATTGCAAAAAAAACCTGACAAACCCTCCAACATTAAATCTTGTGCTTCAGCACCATCCTTGTTAGAGAACTCTGAGCTATTGTTTCTTTCAGGGAGCTGAGTTATTTAGTAAGCTTGTGTTTTCACTAGCTTGCCCCCTTGCCTTCCTGCCCTGAAGTGTGATTTCCTGCAATAATTTAGTTGTTTAAAGAAGAGACTCTACTTAGCTAAAAAAGACTTCCAAAAAAGGAGTTACATAAATATTTAGCACATTTAGAAACAGCTAATTGCTTCCTACCATACTTAAAAGCTAGGAAGCAAAAAAGTTTTAAAATCCTTAAAGTGAAATAAAAATACTGCTTAACATAGTCCTGTATAATGTTACATACACTCTCAAATTTAAAGCATAAGTGACCCAGAGGACTTCCCACATTTTCATTTAAGTTCTTTTTTTTTTGTGTAGTTCATGTGGGGTTTTGCGTACATATTTTCTTCTTA